CCCGGGAACTCGGCCCCCCGGGCCACCTCCGTCGGTGGCGGTGCGGGAGCCGCGTGTCTCCGGCAGTTACACATTAGCCAGTACTTGAAGCGGTTAAGAGGAATATCCCGACCCCAGAGGCCTTTGTGGGACCCGGCGCCCGGGCTGGGCCGTGGGAAGGGGCTAGCCAGCGCCCGCGGCGCTTACATCCCTCCTCCCCAACCCCCCGGGAAAGGCTGAGACCCAGCTAGGTCACCGGCTCAGTCGTGCCGTTCCCCCTCCCCCAGCCCCGGGAAATCGATGAAGCGGTGCGTGCTGGGACCTGTAGTTCGCGTGCCACCTTGCCACCAGGGGCCCCGGCCCCGCCCCCCACCCCTCGCCTCCCAGAGTGGAGTCTTCGGAGTGGTGCCAGTAGGAAGTGCTGTGTCTTGGAGCTGGCTGCTGACTTAACCCCCTGCCTACAAATAACTTTGGAGGCAGGCCATCTTGACCTGGGTCAGGGCAGGTCTTGCACAGGTTCAATGGGCAACCAGAGTGGTGAAACCCCAGCCCGCGTTTTGTGCCCTGTCCTTGCACAGTGATTCTCCTCGCCCCGGCTTCCTCCCACTCCAAGCCACTGAGGTTATGAGACCGGGGCAAAGCTGGGAACTCACCTGCCCCAGAGGGTAGGATTTTGAAATGTACCTGGCGTTGCCCCAGACACTTGGGATCTCAAGGCCCCACTTCTTTTCCTGTGGGCATGCTGGTCATTTCTAAAAGGCTATTCCAGAAAGAGGCATTTCCGCTTTGATCCTCTGTCCCTGCCCTTTACGCTTCACTATTGGAGCCCTCCATCCAGAAGAGGGGCCCTGGTTGTCATTCGTGCTTCAAGCACCTGTTGGAAAATGCTAAAGAAGAGAAACAGAATGCCTTTCGGGTCCTGGGAAACAACTCAGATCCTGACATTGAACGCTTGATTAACTACAGGTCAAGAACCCTCGAGTCCAGAGTCAGCCGTGGACTTGATTTGAGAGCTCATGTGTTCATCTGAAACCCTGGTCTTCTCTTTGATCCCTTTTCAACCGTTCCTTGTCTCTCCCTTACTCCTATTCCTCTTTCCTGTCACCAAGCCAAACCCAGATGGCCATTGGCGCGCAGGAAGAGTGAGTTTAAGTACAGCCGCCTTCATGCAGCAGCAGCTCTGGTCAGCCCTTAGTGGAGTTGACTCTTCAGGACTCTAGGAGCAGGGACTGGCCCTGTTTGCAGACTAGGTTTCCCGGTTCAAGTGACTTGTCTCGAGCGCACACAAAACTTGAACACCGGTCTTTTCATCGCTAGTAACTACTCCAGCCATCTCATGGTACTTCAAAACAACGGAAGGGAAGTAAGTTGACCCCAGTAGACGAATCTTTTGGAGGATGGTCCCCAAATCTACTGCCAGGCGGGTAGAGCATGGAAACAGAAGATCGCTGATAGGATTTCTTTCGCCGTTTTAGGTGCCCCTTTCTACCTCGCCCACCACCCAATACTCACTTTCTTGCCCCCCCTTCCTCCCAGGTCATCAAGCGAGAGGGCACAGGCACAGAGATGCCCATGATTGGGGACCGGGTCTTTGTCCACTACACTGGCTGGCTGTTAGATGGCACTAAGTTTGACTCCAGCCTGGACCGCAAGGACAAATTCTCCTTTGACCTGGGAAAAGGTGAGCATGGGAGATAGGATGGTAGGATAGGCTCTGAGGTAGGTCTGAGTGGAACAATCCAAAACTGCATCCAGAGACTGAAAGAGGAGTGGTTAATCCTCCCACGCGCACACTTTTTTAAAAAAAATTTCTTTTAATACTGTCCTACAGCTGTGTTAATTTTTACCCTCCCTGGTGGCACAGTGGTTATGCATTCACCTGCTAACCAAAAGATTGGTGTTTTGATCCCCCCAGCGGCTCCATGGGCCGGAAAAGGCCCGTGACCTGCTCCAGTAAAGCTCCCAGCCCAGGAAACCAGATGAGACATTTCAACTCTGGACAGCACCCACCTCTCCGTACCTCATCCCCTCCTCTGCAGTGAACTTCCTTGTTTCTTAAGCTCCTTTGTTCCAGGGTTGAGTGGTTTTACTGTGTGTGTGTGTGTGTGTAAGAGACTCAACAACACTTAACTGTGACCAGGCTTTGTATCTTCCTGGTCCCATTTCTAAAGGTTCCCCAGCTTCCCCTTGGGGTGCAGTAAGATGCTATGGGAGTGTTACTGAGCCCAGCGTCAGATCCCTAGCTAAAGAGGACCTGTTTGCCTTTTGTACCTGCAGGGGAGGTCATCAAGGCCTGGGACATTGCTGTGGCAACCATGAAGGTGGGGGAAGTGTGCCATATCACCTGCAAACCAGAATATGCCTACGGTTTGGCGGGCAGCCCTCCAAAGATCCCCTCCAATGCCACACTTGTGTTTGAGGTGAGTGTCTGTCCCAAGGAGCAAAACCCAGAGCCAGGCCTTATCTTAGCCCAGTGCCTGGCTGCCTTCCAGCCTCTTTGAGACAATGTAGCCAAGGTTGAGGACCCACCCTTAGGAGAGGAAGAGAAATGGAGGAGGCACTGGCTCTCCTACACACACTTGCAGCAGCTGCCAGAAAGGTGGCCACAGACGCCGTTCAGCATCAAAGTAGGGCATGGAGTTGAGGCATGTTTATATCTACAGCAGTGCACAAGGTTGTGATTTTATCTGGAAAGAGTCCGGGAAATCAGAATCTGCATGCAGATATAAATTATAGCATGGAGAATTCACAAGGGTGAGATGCCTGACCCTTAAATCATGGGGGTGAGAAAAGGCTTCCCTGGCGGGGTGGGACTTTGGTCTGACAGTTCTTGAGCCCATCTGCAAGTACGAGGAAGAGCAATAAAAGACAACTGAGACGTGTCCTTTCTCATGGCCACCAGGTTGGGCTTTACAAGGAACTGAATTGAGGTTGGCCGCAACTTGGCCTGATTAAAGTGGAGTAGACAGCAAATAAGTTGATCTCCTGGTGAGACCTGACATCCATGCGGCCTGTTCCCCTCTCTCAAAGTTGAGAGCAGGCCATTTCCCACTAACTTGATTAATCGAGTGCCACCGCTGTCATTCCCGCCCTCCGTTCCAAGGGCATCTTGGGGCTGAGGGAGACGGCGTGTCTCTCCTCCGTGAGTGAGCGCGCAGGAGGGCGCCGTCTCATTCGGCATCTTCTCCCACAGGTGGAGTTGTTTGAGTTCAAGGGTGAGGACCTGACGGAAGAAGAAGATGGCGGCATCATCCGCAGAATACGGACGCGGGGTGAAGGCTATGCCAGGCCCAATGAGGGCGCTATTGTGGAGGGTGAGCCAGCACAGGGTGGCATGGTGATAGAAGAGCCCAGAGTTTAGGGTTTTCCGTTCTGATCCTGAGGCCTTGGCTAACTTTGAACAAGGCGTTTCCCGTCTCGGTGGGGCCTGTTTTCTCGTCTGTAAAAGGAGAGGTTGGCCCGCCCTCAATAAACACCCTCCCAGGTGTGAGAGGACAGGAGGAGGCGCGAGGTGCAGGTGGCTCCTCTCTGCAGCCAGTGGCCCCTCACGCCCTGGTGCCTTCCTTGCCTTTCTTTGATGTCAGTGGTACTGGAAGGGTATTACAAGGACCGGATGTTCGACCAGCGCGAGCTCCAATTTGAGATCGGCGACGGGGAGAATCTGGACCTGCCTTGCGGACTGGAGAAGACCATTCAGCGCATGGAGAAGGGGGAACGCGCCATTGTGTACCTCAAGCCCAGGTGAGGGAGGGGCGGGCGCGCAGTAGCGCAGAGCTCTGCAGGTCCACAGTGAGTGTAAGGGTCAGAGGACGGCTCTTTGTGGGCCGGTGTTCCCTGGGACCCGGAGCCTCAAAGATGACGGCATCACCAGGGTCTCTTCATACGTTCAGAACCTGGTCACAGTGGCCCAGCTCTCCTTAGTCCCCAGTCTTTTTTTTTTTTTTCTGGAACACTGATGAAACCTGTTCACTTGGGGTGACCCTGCTGGCCTGTGAAAAAGCATTGACGTACGTTCTAGCATTTCAGCACCACAGAAGCCACCACAGTATGACAAACTGACAGACAAGTGGTGGAATGAAGCCATAGTAGCAGATGAACCCACGTAGGGAGAGTGTCAAGAAAGTGAGGCACAGAGGGATTGAGAGATGAGCTGTACCAGAACTGGAAATAAAGAGGACACTGTATTAAGATGGGAAGATTGACACATACAATAACAGCACTCCACGCATTTAAAAAATGGGAGTGAGTATCAATTTGTAGAAATGTAGGTCGTAACCGGAAAGGTTTTACTGGATTTTGCAAAATAATTTTTTTTCTAATCATTTTATTAGGGGCTCATACAACTCTTATCACAATCCATACATTGTCCCCAGTCTTGTCTGTACAACTCTGGCTACGACAGACTCCGCCGCATCCCCCACGGGACCAGCACCACGGTTTTCACTGTCCCCTAGTTCAGCCTCCGGTGGCACATTGTTCCTGCTTTCTCATGACTCGTCCGTCAGCCAGGTGGTTCTTAGAGAGATTATACCACCCTGCAGGCTGAGTAAGTAGAAGCACCTGCAAGAGGATAGAGAGGCATCTAATTTGTCTGAAGACATTAAGGAAGATGATTCCAAACAGGAAGCACTTGAGTCTCAAGAGATGGGCAGTTCTTTCCAGGAAATGGACAGGAAACCTTTCCTTAGCCTGGAGCCGGGTAAGGGCTGCCCAGATGACCTGGTTTCCCCTGACCCACAGCTATGCTTTCGGCAACGTTGGGAAGGAGAAGTTCCACATCCCACCCCAGGCCGAACTGAAATACGAAATTCACCTCAAGAATTTTGAGAAGGTGAGGTTGCTCGGGGTGCTCTCGCTCCGCAGTCAGCTATCTCCAGTCAGATCTCGCCCTACTGGGATTCCAGGGAAGCTAACTGTGTTTCTCCCCCGGGCTGGGCCAGGCCAAGGAGTCGTGGGAGATGAATTTGGAGGAGAAGCTGGAACAGAGTGCCATAGTGAAGGAGCGGGGTACTGTGTACTTCAAGGTGAGCCGAGAGCCGGCCCTGAGCAGAGTCCCAGGGAAGGCCAACCCCTCACCTAGGACATCTAATGCAGCTGGTCACGGTACAGAGGGCGGGTGGCCAGGGGCGCGGGCAGGGCTCCGTAGAGGTTCTCTTGGGCGCACGGCTCACCTGAGTCTGCCTGAACACCCCTTCCAGGAGGGCAAGTACAAGCAAGCAGTACTGCAGTATAAGAAGATCGTGTCCTGGTTGGAATATGAGTCCAGTTTGTCGGGTGAGGTGACCCAGAAGGCACAGGCTCTTCGACTAGCTTCCCACCTCAATCTGGCCATGTGTCACCTGAGACTCCAGGCCTTCCCGGCTGCCACTGAGAGCTGTAACAAGGTGAGGCCCCTCCGTGGGCGGAGGGCGCTGCCTTCTTAGGTGGACGGGGAGGCTGGGTGGGAGGAAGTGCTCGGTTCCCAGAGGCAGGGGGTGAGAGAAACAGGAGCGATGGAAGGCAGTTGGTACAATTGGAGACCTCTTGAGACTCACTTCCCATCTCTCGGCGCCTACCTGCGTGACCTACAGAGCCTGGAAATGTTTCCTCCAGAGTCCTGCTGTCTTCCCTCAGAAAGGACGCCCTCTCTGGCCCTCCCTGGGTCTTTCCGAAACTGTTCTCCCTGTGGGTCTGGCCGACCCTTCTGCCCCGTCCTGCTGGGGTGGGGCACGTGGAACCCATCTTGGCTGCCTGGGTCAGATCTGAGGCCTCACTTGGCTGCTCCTCTGCCTCCGTAGGCCCTGGAACTGGACAGCAACAATGAGAAAGGCCTCTTCCGCCGGGGAGAGGCCCACCTGGCCGTGAACGACTTTGAGCTGGCCCAGGCCGACTTCCAGAAGGTCCTGCAGTTGTACCCCAGCAACAAGGCGGCCAGGGCCCAGCTGGCCATCTGCCAGCAGCGGATCCGCAATCAGCTCGCACGGGAGAAGAAGCTCTATGCTAACATGTTTGAGCGGCTGGCCGAGGAGGACAGCAAGGTGGGGATTGGGGTGGGATCCTCTGCCCTGGAGGGATGATGGGCGTGTTCCCTCAGCAGTAGTGGTGCCCGTGAGTCCACCTGTGACCGTGGCCACCCACCGGCCCCAGGTGGTCAGGGTAAGTCGGTGCTCTGGGCTATTTTGAAAAATGACCCTCTGACATCCCTAAGTCCCAAGCTTTGTATTGGAAGGTCCCTCTCACACCGAGGCGCTGGGTGTTCATCACCTGCTCCTGTTAGGACCTTTGCATGCACAGCACCCACACACAGGCAGACACCTCACCCTTTCCTCCACGGCCAAGGCCATGCCTACCCATTACTGTCCCAGCCTGGCTTTGTTCCACAAACCAGGACCAGAGAGCTCCCTCCACATTGCTGTGTCCGAGAGCTCTTTTTACCCTCTAGCTTGTAGAGCATTAAATTGTGTGGCTCTCGCATGCTGTTTCCACAAGCCCCCGATTCTCCTCTCTCAGTGCCCTGAGCCCACATTCTCCAGGGAGAGTATTTCGTGGGTACCAATTTAAACTTCTCTTGCTGCCATGCTGCTTAAAAGGTGAATTTTTAATAACATTCATAGTTGACCTGGAGGACCTAGAATGTGATTTCAGCATGTAATCAATATAAAACTTACATTTACCTCTTGGAGTGGGGTGGAGTGGGTGGGTAATTCTCCTCCCTACCCCCACCCCCACCCCGTGCTTGGTAGCTGCGTGGTCATGGCTGGCATGTTTGGTTTTTTCCCACGGGTGTTTGTGGGTACCAGCCACACGTGTCAGTGTGCTGGGTGAGTCTTAGGGTGTCACCGCCACATGAGTTAGGCACAGGTAGGCAGGAGTAAGGACATGAGACCATCACCTTCCTTCCTCTCCTCTCGTCACAGGCCAAGGCAGGGATAGCTTCAGGAGACCGAAATTTGGACGCGGAGATGAAGGATGAGCAGAACGGCATGGCAGGGAGCCAGTCCCAGGTGGAGCCGGAACCATAGCCTCTCCCCACCCTCTGCCTGCGGCCGCCACCTCCCTCCCTGGTGCCCTCCCTGTCTCCACCCTATTAGTTTTGTAAAAACTGAAGAATTTTGAGTGAATTAGACCTTTATTTTTCTATCTGGTTGGATTAGTGGCTTGGGGGCAAGGGGGGAAGGAGTAGGCTGAGTGGGGTGGAAGTTGGGATCATTTTAAGGTGTTGTCACTTCTCCCCGTCCCCCTCCTTTCCCCTCCCTCATTACATAGAAACGTCCGTCCATCCACATACTCTTCAGAATGTTAATTTATTTTGCTTCCTCTGTGTGCTAGGTCCATATAAGGGGGTGGCGATTGGTAGATTGGGGTTCTGATGTGA